GCTTCACAAGTATTTGCCTCACAACACTTCGGAAAGGATGTTGGTACTGGACAAGAAAGCCGCTCAATGACACCGGTTACGGAAGAGACCGGACTCTCTGTCTGTGGGGCGGATGTATCCGCAAAACAGATATTGCCCTTCCTTGCCTGTGGTTCACATCAGTGAAACTCTCACGTTGTGGGCGGATCTATTCGGTGGACATATTTGCCAACAACATGGCGCCAAGGACCTCCTCCCTTGACAAGCCAGCAGTACAATGACACTGGTAACCGAGAGGCCGACGCATCGACTACAGCGGTATAACCTTCCCTGTGTAAGGTAGATGTATCCGCTCCATAAGAAAACCCCTTACTTTCCTGTGTGGAGGACCTCATACGCTTGCTGACTGTAAGGCGGATGTATCCTCTACACAGGTATTGTCCCTTTCTCAGTCGTGCAACACGCACAAGCCGATATCACAGCCACTGCGGACCAGGGACGAAAACCTGTATAGCGGATACATCCGCCACACAGTCAGCACCACAGTGACACCGGCTCCAGACCAGGGACGAAAACCGGTAAACGAGAAAGCCGACGCGTTCACTACGGCGCTAGAACTATCCGTGTGTGTAGCGGATGTATCCGCCACATAGCAAATCTAGTTACTTGCGTGTGTCCATGACCTCAGACGCGTGCTGACTGTAGTGCAGATGTATCCTCTACCCAGGTATTGTCCCTTTCTCAGTCGTGCAACGCCTACAAGCCGATATCACATCGGCTGCGGACCAGGGATGAAAAGTTGTATAGCGGATACATTCGCCACACAGATAAAGAGTGTTCATGGCGGATGTATCTGCTACACAGGTATAGCCCATTAATTGCCTGTGTCAAAAAACTTTGACAATCGTTGACTGTGCGACGGATGTATCCTCTACACGGGCATTGTCCCTTGCTCAACTGTTTAGCGGATGTTTACAACGGCTTGGGACGATGGGAGAAAACCTGTATAGCGGATACATCCGCTGCACAGATAGAGATAGTTTAAAGCAATCCGCTCAATGACACCGGTTACCGAAGAAACCGAAGCATTAAACAAAGCCGCCATCTAGAGCCCATCCTTGGGCAGCCCTCTTCTAAAGCTTGTCTTTGGGCAGCCGCCATCTAAAGCCTACCTTTGGGCAACCGCCATCTAGAGCCTATCTTTCGGCAGCCGCCGTCTAAAACCTATCTATGGGCAGCCGCCATATAGACTCTACCAAGTCGCATTAGATTATGTGGTATTGTGATGGCAGTGCACCCGCAGGACGGTAGGATCATGCCGGTTCTTGTCCTTGAACAACCGCCATCGAAAACCTAGCTTTGCGCAGCCGCCATCTAGAGCCTATCTTTGGGCAGCCGCCATGTAGAGCCTGTCTCTAGCCAGCCGCCATCTAAAGCCTATCTTTGGGCAGCCGCCATCTAAAACCTATCTATGGGCAGCCACTATCTAGATCCTACCAGGTCGCAGCTGCCATCCAGAGTGTACCTTTGGGCAGCCACCATCTAGAGCCTATCTTTGGGCAGCCGCCATCTAGAGCCTATCTTTGGGCAGCCGCCATCCAAAGCTTATCTTTGGGCAGCCACCATGTAGAGCATGTCTCTAGCCAGCAACCATCTAAAACCTTTCTCTAGGCAGCCGCCGTCTAAAACCTAGCCTATCTTTGAACAGTCGCCATCATCTAAATCCTATCTTTGGGCAATTTCCATCTAAAGCCTACCTTTGGGAAGCCGCCATCTAAAGCCTACTTTTGGTCAACCGCCATCTCGAGCTTATCCTTGGGCAGTTGCCATCTACAACCTACCATCAAGAGGCAGTCGACTGAACGCAATGATGAAATAACTGCATATTTCTGTGGGGAGGATGTATCCTCCTCTGGCTTTTCTCCGTCTTTAAAACCTGCAACAATGGGCAGCCTCCATCTAGAGCCTATGAAGTCGCATTCGCCATCCAGATCGTACCTTTGGACAGCCGACTTCTAAACCTACCTTTAGGCAACCGCCATCTAAAACCTATCGTTGGTCAACCGCCATCTATAGCCTAGCCTTTCTCTAGGCAGCCGAGGGCACTTAATCTTCGACAATGCTCCCTACAAAGGTGCAGACGGCGCTCTGGAATGTCACCAACTGACTGGTTAGCACATCCCGAGGGTGCTATCCACGACTATCCGATTCACAAGTGTGATTTCTGGTTTATTGGAAGGCAGCATTTTCGATGCCTCTTGACCGGCCCTTGAAGATCTTAATGATCTAAGGATTGCATATCCTTGTAGGGTTTACGATGTCTAGGAAACCTGCACCAGTGGTGCCAGTTGGCAGTACAGACATTTTGGTCGAGCAAGAGACGCTGTCCATTTCGATTACGTGGTACCGTGAAGGCAGTGCACCACAGGACGGTAGGATCATGCCGGTTCTTATCCTTCGGCAGCCACCATCGAAAACCTTGCTTTGGGCAGCCGCCATCTAGAGCCTATCTTTGGGCAGCCGCCATGTCGAGCCTGTCTCTAGCTAGCCGCCATCTAAAGCCTGTCTTTGGGTAGCCACCATCTAAAACCTATCTATGGGCGGCCGCCATCTAGAGCCTACCAAGTCGCAGCCGCCATCCAGAGCATACCTTTGGGCCGAGGGCGCTTTGTTGTCGACAACGCTCCCTACAAAGGTGCAAACGGCGCTCTGGAATGTCAGCGACTGACTGGTTAGCACATCCCGAGGGTGCTCTCCACGGCTATCCGATTCGCAAGTGTGATTTCTGGTTTATTGGACGGCAACTTTTTCGACGCCTCTTGACCGGCCCTTGAAGATCGTAATGATCTACGGATTGCATATCCTTGTGGGGAGGATGTATCCTCCCCAGGGTTTGCGGTGTCTGGGAAACCTGCACCAGTGGTGTCAGTTGGCAGTACTGACAGTCCGGTCGAGCAAGAGACGACATCCGTTTCGATTACGTGGTACCGTGAAGGCAGTGCACCACATGACGGTAGGATCATGCCGGTTTTTATCCTTCGGCAGTCGCCATCGAAAACCTTGCTTTGGGCAGCCGCCATCTAGAGCCTATCTTTGGGCAGCCGCCGTGTAGAGTCTGTCTCTAGCCAGCCGCCATCTAAAAACTATCTATGGGCAGCCGCCATCTAGAGCCTACCAAGTCGCAGCCGCCATCAAGAGCGTACCTTTAGGCAACCTCCATCTAGAGCCTATCTTTGGGCAGCCGCAATCTAAAGCCTATCTCTGGCCAGCCCCCATCTAAAGCCTACCTTTGGGCAGCCGCCATCTAGAGCCTATCTTTCGGCAGCCACCATCTAGAGCCTATCTTTAGGCAGAAGCCGTCTAAAGCCTACCTTTCGGCAGCCACCATCTAGAGCCTATCTTTGGGCAGCCGCCGTCTAAAACCTATCTATGGGCAGCCGCCATCTAGAGCCTACCAAGTCGCAGCTGCCATCCAGAGCATACCTTTGGGCAGCCGCCATCTACAGCCTATCTTTGGGCAACCGCAATCTAAAGCCTATCTCTGGGCAGCCGCTGTCTAAAGCCTACCTTTGGGCAACTGCCATCTAGAGCCTACCTTTGGGCAACCACCATCTAGAGCCTATCTTTAGGCAGCTGCCGTCTAAAGCCTACCTTTGGGCAGCCACCATCTAGAGCCTATCTTTAGGCAGCCGCCGTCTAAAACCTGTCTATGGGCAGCCGCCATCTAAAGCCTGACAAGTCGCAGCCGCCATCCAGAGCATACCTTTGGGCAGCCGTCATCTAGAGCCTACCTTTGGTCAGCCGCCATCTAAAGTCTATCTTTGGGCAGCCGCCATCTGAAGCCTGTCTTTGGGCAGCCGCCATCTAAAACCTATATTTGGGCAACCAGCACCTCGACTACCTATAGCTGCCGTTGCTTTCTCGTCGGTGGACAACGTCTAAAGCCTACCTTTGGGCAGCCGCCATCTAGAGCCTATCTTTGGGCAGCCACCTTCTAGAGCCTATCCTTTAGGCAGCCGGCGTCTAAAGCCTACCTTTGGGCAGCCACCATCTAGAGCCTATCTTTGGGCAGCCGTCGTCTAAAACCTATCTATGGGCAACCGCCATCTAGAGCCTACCAAGTTGCAACCGCCATCCAGAGCGTACCTTTGGGCAGCTGTCATCTAGAGCCTACCTTTGGTCAGCCGCCATCTAAAGCCTATCTTTGGGCAGCCGCCATCTGAAGCTTGCCTTTGGGCAACCGCCATCTAAAACCTATTTTTGGGCAACCAGCATCTCGACGACCTACAGCGGTCGTTGCTTTCTCGTCGGTGGACAACAGTTCTCTGGTGACCAGCATCTCGTCGACCTACAACGGCTGTTACTTTCTCGTCGGTGGACAACAGTTCTCTGGTGCCCAGAACACAACGTTCCCTATAAAGGTGCAAAGAGCGCTGTGGAATGTCATCGACAGACTGACTAGCACATCCCTTGGGGGCTCACAACGACTGCCCAACTCGCAACTGTGATTTCCGGTTTCCATTGACAAGCAGATTTGTTGTCGACAACGGTTCTCTGATGCCCGGAACACAATGCTCCCTACAAAGGTGCAAACGGCGCTCTGGAAGGTCATCGGCTGACTGATTAGCACATCATGATGGTGCTCCCCACGACTGTTCGATTCGCAAGTGTGATTTCCGGTTTCCATTGACAGGCAGTTTTTTCGACGCCTCTTGACCGGTCAGTGAAGATCGAAGAAACTGCATATACTTGTGGGGAGGATGTATCCTCCTCTGGGTTTTTGTGCTAGCCGTCGGGAAACCCGAGTCCGCCTTCCCGTGTCCGATGACAAGCGATAAGGCATCGCCAACGGACGCTAATAATCTATGGATTGTATACCTTTGTGGGGAGGATGTATCCTCCTCAGGGTTCACGGTGAGTGGAAATTGAGACCCTGCTGGCGTCAGTTGGCAATATACCTTTATAAGATATTGTGAACGTAGTGCGACCTCTACCTGTCAACGTAGAGCCGCCATTGGTGTCGTGCTGACTGGAGAGCTGTCGTGCAAGTACTCCGGGTTACCCGAGTCCGCTTTGCGGTGTCCAATAACAGGCTGCAAGGCTTCGCCACAGGACGCTTATGATCTACAGATTGCATATCCTTGTGGGGAGGATGTATCCTCCCCAGGGTTTACGGTTTCTGGAAATATGCACCAATGGGGTCAGTTGGCACAGGCGACAGTCCAGTCGAGCAAGAAACGCCGTCCATTTCGATTATGTGATACCGTGAATGCAGTGCACCCACAGGACGGTAGGATCTCCCCACATACCCCTTTACAACCGCTCCCTGCATAGGTCAAAATGACGTTGTGGTAGCTAAGCGACCGACAGTTTAACAATAGGGCTAATTGTTCTCATATGAGTTGTTTGGTTTCTCGAGGTCGGAGCTGAGAAATTATTGTTAACATGATGCAGCCCCGCAAGGGGTCTTACAAACCTTGTGAGGAGGATGTATCCTCCTCACAGTTTGTGGTTACTGAAAAACCTGCACCATCATTCATGTCGGTTAGCAATGCCGAGAGTGGTGTACAAGACAGCTGTCCAGTCGGGACGCCAGCGACGGTGGCTCTACCTCGACAAACACAAGATATACTGCGTTCACGGTATCACATAACCGAAGAGGGGGCAACAAAAGTGTATATTAGGCTACACCGTAACTTGTATGGCGGATCTATCCGCTTCACAACCCCAATAAGGTTTGTAAGACCCCTTGCGACACTGCATTAAGTTTACAATAATTTTCGAGGTCAGACCTCGAGACACCAAACAACTCGTATGAGACAACTCGCGAGCTGTCGGTTGCTTAGCTACCATTGCGCCATGTAGACCTACGTAGGGAGCGGTTGTAAAAGGAGAAGAACCGGCATGATCCAGCGGGACGGCCGGCACTGCTAACCGACACCAACGACGGTGCAGTTTTTTCAGACACCGTAAACCCTAAGGAGGATATATCCTCCCCACAACAAAATATCCATTGATTATTGGCACCCGGTCGCGAGGCCACAGAAAGCGGACTCGGGTTTCAAAAGGGATAGCACGAAAACCCAGAAGAGGATACATCCTGCCCATAAGCATATGCAGTCCTTTGATCATTATCGACTGGTCACGACAGGGAGAAGAACCGACATCATTCTACTGTCCTGATGAATACAGCACTGCCCATACCATCCGTAGCTTTGTGAAGTCGAAAGGGCGTCGACCAGAGTAGTGTACAAAACAGCTGTCTAGTCGGGACACCAGCGACGGCGGCTCTACCTCGACAGACACAAGATGTACTGCGTTCACGGTATCACATAACCGAAGAGGACGGCGTCTCGACTTCACAAAGCTACGGATGGTATGGGCAGTGCTATATTCATCAGGACAGTAGAATGATGCCGGTTTTTCTCCCTATCGTGACCGGTCGATAATGATCAAAGGACTGTATATGCTTATGGGCAGGATGTATCCTCTTCTGGGTTTTCGTGCTAGCCCTTTTGAAACCCGAGTCCGTTTTCCGTGGCCTCGCGACCGGGTACCAATAATCAATGGATATTTTGTTGTGGGGAGGATATATCCTCCTCAGGGTTAACGGTGTCTGGAAAAACTGCACCGTCGTTGGTGTCGGCTAGCAGTGTTGACCGTCCTGCTGGATCATGCCGGTTCTTCTCCTTTTACAACCGCTCCCTACGTAGGTCTACATGGCGCTGTGGTAGCTAAGCAACCGACAGCTCGCGAGTTTTCTCATACGAGTTGTTTGGTGTCTCGAGGTCTGAGCTCGAAAATTATTGTAAACTTAATGCAGTGTCGCAAGGGGTCTTACAAACCTTATTGGGGTTGTGAAGCGGATAGATCCGCCATACAGGTTATGGTGTAGCCTAATATGCACTTATGCTGCCCCCTTCTAACAAGATGCAGCGTCACGAGGGGTCTTATAAACCTTATTGTGGAACGGATGGATCCGCGATACAGGTGACGATATAGCCTAATTATGCACGATTGACTTGCCCTTCTACTGGAACCCCCGCACATACATTAGACTAAGCTTGTTGTCGTCTGTTGCTGGCTGATTCTATTTATTGTGAGCAGTCCAAATTTCATTTCTGCCTCTGTGCAAATTTTTAACTACATGACGGTTGTTTTCTGTATGGAGGCTGATGTGCAGTTGCAGGACCCTCTCCTTTTATTGTACATCTCTTCTCAATTTCTCACCTTTAGTGCATGCGTCTCACCGAAACGCTGCTGTTCATTTCGCCGTGTGACTTCTGTTATCATTTTGGAGCACTGGTAGTCGTCTCGGCGAGCTCGTCAGATAGCGCTTCATCACCGATTCCAAGGACGTATTTTTGTGCAAGCGTAATAATGTGGAAGGACAAGAATTGACTGAGGATTATTCACAGCATTCGCAAACCCCATGGTCGATACGGGAGGTATGTAAGTCCTTACATGATCTTGATAGCGGCAGCCAGAGGCTTGTGGCCAGCGCCAAGATGTCAAACCGAGCTGGTGAGGAGTACTTGGGTAGCCTTAGCTGTAGTGTGACAGAATATGTAACCACAGGAGGATCTGCAAAACATTTTCGGACCGGAGGAACTGGTGGTTGCAAACAATACACGACTTCACCGTAATGGAGGATGATGTGGAGCGAATTCGACCTATTGTGTGCAGACAAAAGGTGTGCGTGCAAGCGTACTGTAATATACTGGGCGTTTCACAGAATACGTTCTATATTTACAAAAGAATGTATCACAATGGTGTTGTGCATGCAGGGCACGGTCGTACGGGAAAATGTAGTCCTTCCAACAAAGTAGTCACGATGCTCGCATGCATGAAAAAATTCATTGACGATCATGCTGATGACATGCCAAATGAGACGGCTAGAAACGACAATGTTTGTAGACCACGCCGCAGGATACCCGCTGCTTTTACCAAGAGATCCATTTATGAATCCATTCGATCTGACCTTGAGGCCGCAGGACAGGAAGTCGTCTCTGAGTCTACGTTTTACGCTATATGGAGCAAACATTTTTGGCACGTTAGTATGACCCAGTCCAACACGTTCACGAAATGTGCTCTATGCAACTACTATAAGCAGTGCATAGCTAAGGTGAAGTATGAACGAGACCGTAAGAAGTTTAAGATAAAGATGAAAGAACATCAGGAGCGACAAGTGAACCATAGGCAAGATTACTGTCTTGCAAAGCTCGATTCAATATTGCGTCCTGCTGAGCATCTCTGCCTCATAATTGACGGCATGGATCAGAAGAAAACCACCTTGCCTCACATCGGGCAGGCAAACTACTCAAAGGACTTGCAACACGACAGGATGATGAGGACCACTCTTACGACAGTAATCGCCCACGACAGAGACCCTTCCATTTACATATACACGTACTTTCCGTACTACAAGCACAATGCGAGTAGCACATCTACATGTTTGATGAGGACTCTCTATGAACTTCAGGCCTCAGGGACACCGCTTCCTCCTCGATTGCGTATTCAAGCGGATAACTGTTGGAAAGAAAACAAAAATCAGTTCATATGTGGCTTGGCAGCACTTCTCGTGAAGTTCGAAGTATTTCAGGAGATTGAGATTGGGTTCATGATAGTCGAGCATACCCATACAGATGTTGACGCCACTTTCAGCGTTTTCTCTAAGAAGTTGAAAGACAATGATGCATATACAATTGATGAACTTTTTGCTTTGCTGGAACAATCTCACAAGAAGCCTCCGAAATGTATTTTCCTCGATAAAATTGCGGACTGGAAAAATATGGTAGCACCATATCTCGCAACTGATATAACCGGTATCTTGAAGCCACATTTACTTAAGTTTTATATGGTAGGTGATAATCCAGCAATGTCGTACAAAGAGTTTTGCGACGATACAGAATGGTTGCCAAAAAACGGTCCGCTTTTCTGGTTTAAAAGAGATGACGACGGCAAGTATGCTGGTCCATTGCAACCATTCGACCCTTTCCCGAGTCAACCGGCAGAGCTAGAGTATTACAAAAACGGATGTGAAGGTGTGAATCGTTTTCTGCATTTATTCCGAGAGAAAAGGTCGACGTGGAGTATTTATCAGGATAAAGAGGTAACTCGTATACAAAATGCTTTTGCTTATTGGAAGGGTGTTAAAGAACATGGAGCTTATATTATCGCAAACGGAGTACCCAAGACACTAATGACATCCTTTTGGCCTTCTGCCTCGAAGAGGCAAGAGGAAGAAATTGTGCGGTCCTGTTCTGAAGAACCTGAAAGAGAACCCTTGTTCGTTGAACACAAAAAGGATCGCCCGAAGACAAACTTTGACCAAATTTTGGATGTTGAGAAAGACAGTTTCGTTATTCTGCAACCATCAGATGAAGAACTTGCAAAGGGTGTTCCGTTTTGGGTGGGCCAAGCGCTGACTCTAGTTGTCCTAGACAAGGACTCCGAACATTACAGCCAGGTGAAAGTTCAATACAGGATTCCTACGGGCAAATCGCGTTCGCTAAGGGAACGTTATGAGAATGCGTGGGATAAAAAGTGGAAAAGATCTACTGAGGATGAGGAGCAATGGCAGAATGCTGATGCGGTGGCATTCGCATGGAAACGAGCATCGAGAGGAAGAGTTTTCACCAAACCATTCACCTCGGGCCTTGTAATTCTGTCTAAAGTCCGGGTTAATGCACTTGCTGCTCTGGTTGGAGAAGATGGTGTTCATATAGATGATGGTGTCAGCGCATAAATTTTTGAGGGAGCCGATGATAGTGTTTCATCAAGGGCAGGATTCAGTGTCTGAGATGACTCTACGGCGATCCAAAGACCACCATGTCCAAGGTCGAAAATTGATCCGGAATTCTTTATAAGGAGAACATATTGTCGTGCAGGACTGTGTACAACACTCTTGATTCCATGGAATACATCGTGTAATGATTTGTGCTCTCTGGGTTGCGCGCTTCAAATCAACAAAAGTTCTTCATCAATTTTCGACATTGAGCGCAGGGGCGTTTTGGTCGTCGTAGCGTGACTTAAGGCTTTGGATCCTGACCCTGATGAAACACTTTTATTGTGACTTTTGTCTTTTGCAGTGTGCAAACTTTCCTCTTCTGACGTACTTCGAAAACATGGATGAGATTTTGGGCTTCATTGAAATAAAAATACCTGAACGATTAACGATCGTCACAAAGAGAGAAGCGT